TACATTGTTTTTGAGTCTTTAAGTCGCCAAATTGCATCTGACCAACCCGTAACTTGAGCATGTTTGACAAACCCTGTGTTTGATACACGCTGTAGATAAACACACTTCTGTTGTATCTCCGTCTTGCACTTCAAAGAATTACAGTCTCTCCAAACGTTCAAATGTGTTCATTAGTTGCTCCATTAGGTTGGTTTGCATTTAAAGTCATAGAACAACGCACTGTTATGGATGATTTCTGCAACACTGTTGGTTTATTTTGAGCAAGTAGCAGCTGGACAATCTTGTTTTTTCTATCCGTGACAAACCCTAACCCTAACCATCTTAACAAAAAGAGTGAAAAAGACAGTGTCAAAGCTCCGGATAATTGGCACCAAATATGTCTTATATAATGGAAGTCAATATGTTGAGGTGATTTGCTTGATGTTGTTTACAAAGGAACACTTTTAGCTGTCATGATCAATGTGATAAGTGAGGGTAATCATATCTATTACACCTTTAAGAGCCTGCTGCACAGAATATAAAGAGGAAGTGCCACAGGAAAGCACATTTGCTTAGGAGAGCACTTTAACTAACCTTTCGGTGACCCGTTTCCTCAGCAAAAAAATAAACACAGCTGAACCAGTTTGCTTTCCAAATTCTGGTGACAGTTTTGCAAAGGTATCAGCTCGGGATCGATCGGCCGATATTCACTCTTAATAGTTCGATCGGTGCTCTCTAAAAAGGCTGATCGGGAGAGCCGATCAGATGACGTGGTATAACACAGGACACTTTTCTCTGTGCGCGGCAAAACAAGCTCGCCAAGTCTTCACCGGTCTGGCAGTATTTTAAGGTGTCCGAAAAAGACAATAAAATAGTGGTATGCAACGTGTGAAGCAGAAATCCTGCTGCTCCACCCGCTGTGACGGACCGGTGAGCGGAGCAACACACTAAGAGTTAGACCTAACACACTATTTTATCTACCTCTGGAACTAAACTAGTTATAAATGGTTTATTCTTCACTGTCGGGTCACTCATTACTGGATCAGTGAGCTGCGTGAGATACTGACGGGCTGTCAGGAGAGAGAGAGAGGCTCCGTTTATTCCTCCCGTGTTATTATCCAAAGTTAATGTAAACTTGAATAATGTACTTAATTTGAATGTAATAATGTTGTTGTTTGTGGAAGCGCATCATTTATTGAAAAATGTATTTGAACTTTTCGATCCGTTACGATTATAAACTGAAGCAATATAAAAAAGAGCACCATTACATTACATTGCATTTAGCTGACGCTTTTGTCCAAAGCGACTTACAATAAGTACATTCGACCAGGAAGACACAACCTTGAAGAAAACAGAATCATAAAGTACATCAGGTTTCATAGAGCCAAACATTTCAAGTGCTACTCAACTGGCTTTAGGTAAGCCAGCCCTTTATTAGTATATAAGTGCTTCGTTAATAGTTCTATCGCTCGAAGTGGAGTCGAAAGAGATGAGTTTTCATTAACTGAGTTTTAAACATCAGCATGTATTACCGGTCATAGTCCAGTACATACCGGCTAACTCCGCTACTCAATTCACAAAACAACACTTTAAATGGAAGATCCCCATAGCCCCCACCCTATGGTCGGATCGGCCGATTCTGATTCCGGTGATCGGCCCCAAAAACCCTGATCGGAGCATCCCTATCAGCATGTGATCACAAGTATAAGCTTTTGGTTTGTTTAAATGTGTTTTACAGCTGAATCCAGCGTTTCCGCCAGGGGGGCGTCTTGCCGTCAAAATAGCCCCCCCCCCCGCCCTCTCAGCCCTGGTCTGGCGGAAACACTGGCTGAATCCAACTGCAGATCATCAGCTGATGAAGGCAACATTTAGAAAAAGAAACTGTAGAAAAACAAGTTTTGACCTAAATTTGAAAGTCAGTGTTGCTGCTGGGGCTAACATAAAAAAAAGAAGCAGCATCAGTGCATCAGTATTATATGAACGTAATATTTGGACATTTCCCAAGAAAACAGCCCATAGCAACACAACCCACTGCACTTAATAAACATTGATTGCTACTGTTAGCAAACAAACAATCTCAATGTGGTGTTGATTTCCTCCCGGCACATGTTGTTTAAAAGCCATCCAGTTCACGGTTTAATATCCAAACATCCACACCCAGCTGGGAGGGACAATGGGATAGGGTCTCTGTCGGGTGTGATGCATTCACAATGGGGGCTTTAAGTTAAGGGAATGCAATGCTAAAGTAAACTATTAGAATTTAAGAAAAACTGAGATAATGTCATTTTATTCCACCTTAAATACCAGCATTTAAGGTGGACTAAGAAGACATGGAAGTAGCCTTTTGAAATGAATACTCAAACATGGGATTGTGTGTTTGTACTACGTCGATAAGATGACACATACATTAGTTCTGTGGTATGATAATCAGATGGCAGGAGGATGTACTCTATAGGCAAAACAACTGTGATTTGTACACAGTGTGGCCTCCCGTTGACATGATGGGTTTAAAACCTGCTTCTTGTGGTTGACAGCATGACCTTTCAGTATCAAGAGATGTCATCTTAAGCTGAGAAACGTATCCCATCAGCATCTCAAACATTGGCTTTTTAAATACCAAATATATTTTTTTAGCATTCAGGGCAGTGTTTACAACGACACCTCAGTGATATATTGATTACACATGCTTTGGTTTAACATAATATTGCCATAAAGTTCAGTCTCAGGGGTCTTGAAAAGGTCATAACGGATAGGATTTTCTGGATAAATTCGATTTTAATGCCTGAACCAATTATTGCTTTTCATAATCTTTTCAAAAAAGTGCTGCTCGAATATGATTTCTTTATTGATACTGGGGGTTTCAGTCAAATACATCATTATCCTATTTCATTTTGTCAGAACTGAAAATAGCCTTACTTGCAGACAGTACAGAGATTGTTCCAAGAAGTCATTTCCCGACCACTTTCAAGTCCGCTCTGGGCTGAAATGACTTTCAGTTATCTCCATTTCAAAGGATCTTCAATGAAAGGCTAATATCAGTCCATCTGAATGTCTTCACACCCGACACATGTGCTCAGTCAGGACAATAGGGCTGAACAATGATCTGAATTGCAAAATGGATACATGCAAAACCAAAATCACATACTTGTTAAAGATGAAATATGTGCAAAAATACCATTCTGAATTAAGTATTAAAGTTCAGCCGGTCTACAAATGGTAGAGACTTAAGAAAAAAAACAGTTTTTTAATATTGTTTCGGTTGCAGTAACGATCATTCCCTCCATTATCGTGACTCTTACCCAATTGCAATATCACTCAAAAGAATGGTAATGACATATTTATTTAAATCTGCTCACTGGTCCTCTGCATGAGACTACCAGTTAACCACCTGAATGAGTAAATGGAAATCAAGTCACCTCAGTGAACAGATCTACGATAACTGCTCGCCAAAAACCCCATCAGTAAAACTCATTTTCAATACTTCATATATCTCATCACACACACACACACACACACACACACACACACACACACACACACACACACACACACACACACACACACACACACACACACACACACACACACACACACACACACACACACACACACACACCACACACACACACACACACACACACACACCACACACACACACACACACACACACACACACACACACACACACACACACACACACACACACACACACACACACACACACACACACACACACACACACACACACACACACACACACACACACACACACACACACACACACACACACACACACACACACACACACACACACACACACACACACACACACCACACACACACACACACACACACACACACACACACACACACACACACACACACACACACACACACACACACACACACACACAGTGTTTTTCAACCTGCTGCAGGTTATACAATATTGAAAGAGATCAGAGGGCACAAAAGCTATTGAATAACAGTCAAATACAAGGGGGTCTTTGACATTATCTCAGTAAATAAACAGACTGAATTATGATTTCAAATGAGTGACAATTGGTAATAATCCTATTAATAAATCAAGCTTTCAAACGGAACAGGTTCATCTTAAAATGCCCACTCCTAAAAGGGAATGAACTGTGGCGCACACTCTAAATCTAGGTCATATGTTATGGTGTGTGACAGGCTAAAGGTGTGTTCAATCTTCCACAGCCATGATAACAAGGGGTTACCACTCTGGTGACTGATAATCTGGTTTATCATATATTCCCCTGACACTGGAAACCTGAAAGGCAGGTATATAAACCCGGAGGGGGGCAGTGGATCCTGCGTGCATTCCTTGGTTTTCCCCAGAAACTGACTGCTGGGAAATTTCGTGGAAAGAAAAACCTCTGCCACGCCAAATCCCGTTGAAAAAAACATAAAATCAACGTGTCATATTCACCTTGAGGTGTGCGTTGATGTCGAAACATAGTGTACGGTATTTAACTCAACAAGACTACATTTCTGAGCAATTCGGCTACAAGTGATACACTATGGTTTACTGTGTTGAAATAAAAAAGCAAGTTGTATACTTGGTGCACTATCGTAAGCACCGCTCTCCGAGGAATATCGGCGGAGAGGACTTTCGAGATAACACGTGAACATTATGTAAAAGTTCAATTATCGTATAATTTAGGGCTCATTTGTGTATTATATATGCGCCGTATTAAAGAGGGGGTGTGACACATTCATGTTAACTGTTAAATCATGTTTAAGCATTCAAACCAACTGTCATAAGATAAGGAAACATTAAAATCACATGATGTAAAAGTTACAATTTCGTGCAATTTAGGGCTCATGTGTGTATTATATTTACGCCGAATTATAGAGGAGGTGTTAACCCTTCATGTTGACTGTTAAATCATGTTTTATAGTGAATACAAACTGTAGTATCCTATGGAAATATATAAATGTCAGTTGTTTTGCCGGAGTTTGGCGTTACGTCCAAACAGCGCGTGCGTTCAACAGATTCTTACCTCTTTGATCTTAGCGCGTCTCTCCTTGGTTTCTGGGTCCAGAGGTTCGTGTCCAGTAGCTCCAGGGGGTCGGTGATATACAACAAAAGGTAAATTATTGACATCATTACCACCGTGACCCTTAGCCTCCTGAAGTTTCTTTTTGTCATTCAAAATGTCCTTCTTAATCTCGTCCGGTCGTTTCTGTAGAGTATCCTTGGCCTCTAGCAGAGCTTTTTCATGGTCGTTCTTGATTTTGGCCAGGACCCTCTCGTCGTTTCCAGCCGATCCCGGGTCGCTGCTGTCCGGACCGGTGCGGGTGTTGGTCTCCACCGCGGAGGAATGAAAGAAAACTCCACTGAGCAGCTTCGACGAGTCCGGTAGGAAGAAAATAGCCCCGAAACACAGGGTAATAAAAGCACTAAACACTAATAACAAGATGAATTTCTCTGTCAACCTGAAAGAGGTCGGGCTGGCAGACTTCCTATTCGGGGTCGCGGTAAAAGGCAGAAGAGTTGCAACTGGCATTTTCTCTTCTTCCTTTTTTTAACAACAAAAAATGAATTCAAACGCTCGGATAAGCGCACTTTCGGGTTATTCCGTTCACAAATCCATGTATAGGTGGTATACAACCGTGACAAATGGAGCACAACTGTGGTTAAATCCCTGGTAAAAAAGTTGAGGAGTGAGGCAGCTGCCCATACCGGAGACTCGCTGCAGACAAACCGAATCCACGATCTCACACAGGAAGCAACGGAGGATATGCGTGACTGACAGCCGAGAAGAGCCAATCCGTTTCGGCCCTGTGATTGGTTGGAACACAGGGGGCGTTTCTTACCAACGGCCGGGTATAAAGCTTCTGACAGCCGAGGAAACAGCTTTATGTTCCGCAAACAGTTCAACAGGAAGGACAGGAGACGATGGGGTTTTAAGATTAAGTGTTTTCTACACACATTAAAATAACATAACCAACATGTAATTGCGTGGATGCTCAATTATGCCAATTTGATGAAAGAATACACACGTGTCATTATAATGAAACACGTTCTCACAATAATCACTTGGAAGGACTCTTGGAATAATGAATTACAGCCTATCTAAAAACTATAAGAAACTTTCTCAAAAGATTGACTTTGAGTCTCAGAGTAATGAGTCTTTACAATAATGAGTAAGTATCTCCGAATAATGACCAAGTATCTTGAAAAAATGTGAACTTTATAAATAATGGGTTAGTGTCCAAATAATGACAAAAGTTGTCAAAAAAGGATGACTAACGCCTCAAAATAATGAGTTAGTTTCTCAAATGTATGAGTCAGTATCTAAAAATAATGATTAGTATCTCAAAAATAATTAGTTACATATCAAAATAAACAGTTAATATAAAGAAATTAGTCAAATTATGTAAATTATTTTGTCCAATTAATGAAAAACGTTATCAAAATAATGAGGGGTGTATACCAAAATAATTAAAGACCTGAAAATTAGTTGGTTTATCAAAAACAATGAGTTAATATTTCAAAATAATGAGTTAGTATCTAAAAAACAACAACAATGGAAAGCTTTAATAAAGTCTTAGTGCCCCGCAAGGCCTTAGTCATACAAGTACATACATTTACCATTTATTGCAACTTTTTTATTAGTAAAAAATGCATGAACAAGATTGTGGAGCAAAAGACAGTTTTTTGGGGCTTTAATGTTTCCCCACAGCATGACATTCCTCATGGGCTTACCCTCTGACCGTGTCATGTGTCACTTGTGAAGAAATGGGGAATGTTTGGTAACTAATCACCAAGCATTTGATGTTGAAAAAGGGAGCCGTGAAAGCAGAGTTATAATATGTATCAACAAGATGTTTTAACTCATGCATGTCCTGGTCTTCTTTTTACTCACAATGATAAAGAAAAAAACACAATGCACAGTTAACTACCACTGAAGATGACATCTCCTTTCTTTTGAAGAAATAAGCATTCCTGCTCTACAAAAAGATGTAGAGATCTTGCCAAGTATCTTTGTCTAATATCTAGTCAGAATATGTCTCTACTCCTGATATAAGACACAGTAACTTCGGAAGTGACTGCAGTGAGATATCGGGTCTTGTTTTTAGACAATGCATCACTTGTTAAGTAAAACAATCTTATTTTGAGTTGTATCTCAGATGAAACACATATTTGTTTACATATTTATTAGAAAATCACCAGCTGACATCAGAAAACAGAAAACCTTTGAGCATTTGCGGCTTATATTGTAACAACATCTCCTGATTCTAGTCAAATATAGTTTAAAATGAGTTCTCCCAGATAATTACAAGATCTGATTTATCTAAATATCCCGTCTTATTTCAAGAATTCTAACCAAGCTAATTTTCACTTGTTCTTTTGGCAGATTTTTGTACGTATTTCAAGTGAAAACAGCTTGTTTTCATTATTGTTTAACTTGTTTTTGGAGCAGCATTTTTTTCAGTGTAGTTGAATAAACATTACATCCACACATGGAATAATGGAAAGATTTCTCCATATTTGTTTCGTATGGGAATATGAACCAGTGACCCTCCTGGTTTTCAAGCCATCTCCACATGAACTTATTCTGATGAGATCATTGATCTTTCCTAGTCTGTGTGCGAGTGTGGGATAAATGGCAATCATTTCAATTGTCTGAGCTGGTGACTAATAATGGTTTGAGGAACCAGTCAGTTATACGAATGAAACATGCAATTTATACTTAAATAGAGATTGGAATTAGTTCACAGCAAAGGGAGGAAAGAAAAAAAATCCATCTTGTTCCCTGCTATTACGGATTCTGATGAGTGCATGCTCCTGTTTTCAGACTGAATAAATCTTCCTCTGTGTCATTTGAATGTGTAAACATATTTTGTTGAGCATTCACATTAATATTCCATACATTAACGAGCACATTGGTTACTACAAATAGCTGCCATGACTTTACAATTGATATTTGCAGCTATACAATGCTCCTCACCTGCTGGAAAGGAACCGCAGTGATGGAAAGTCTAATCTGGGGATGACAGATGCGTGCTGCCATATTGAAATTGTAATTCTGGGATGACAACTTGTCTAAATGATGACACGCGCCCGCATGATTACTTTCTCACTCTGCGATTCATGCAGAAAATGTAATTCTTGGATGAAATGTATGGCATCTCAATTTTGAACTGTGAGTCTCTTGTGGAAACAGTTTTGACAACCCGACGTTCATTCCTGCGTCATTTCATCAAAGTTAGCTTTTTCACTGGGATTTGTTTTCAACCTGAGTAACTGTTGATAATATATGCATCAAAAGGAACACCATTTCCCCGTGGGTTTTCTAGGCAGAGGAGAATAAATAATCCTTTGTTGTGATGCTGGTAAAACTTGTCGAGAGGTATTGGAGGCTAAACCCACTTTTAAAGATCACTCAAAGAAAACCCCTTTGCATACCCCTACACCAACATCTTTAATCCAGCGCTCCCTAGGAGGTATTTTAGATGATATCTTTCCGATACTATCTGCTCGCGTCAGACTCTATGTTGCAATTAAAAGAAAGATATTGGACATTTTTGTCATCATAAACCATTATGACAGTGAGCAAACCCCAAGGGCAAACGCTCCACTAAATCCACTGGTGTTGGAAGTCCCAGGTAATAAAAATCTAAATTATCAGTCACATCCATACTCGTGAAACTCCACTGAAAGTGAAAACCTCCTTCTATACATAATGTATGGTCGGTTTTAAATTCATAAGCTCTGGATGTGGCTGTTCAAAGGAGATAAACACACGAAGGCTTCAAAGCTGTAGCAACAAGATGCCATTCTTATTAAGTTGCAATGAATTCTGGTCTTCTGAGGCGGCGTTGGTGTGAGAGTCCGTCTGTTTGCCTCCTCCGCCTCTGTGATTTATGAGCAGTTTTTTGATGGATGGCAGCTACAGAAAGTCCTGACTCTTGGATTTTGAGGAAGTTAATCTAAAACCTGATGAATTTGAATAGCAGTGCTGGAAATTCAACATCAGGTCAGCAATGAAACTACTAACTGTTTAGAATAAATGAATAGAGACTTGAATAAAAGATATCTAAAAATGTTTGATTTTTTGTCCTGGAAGAACACATTGTAAAATGCAAAATTCTTGTGCTATATGTTATCTAATAAACATCTGGATTCAAATTCCATTTTGGGTATTCTTTTGTTTTTATAATCATATAAATATAATTCGACATTGCTGTAAATTATAATGATATACCATCCCTGAAAAAAAAAGATGTATATCCAGGGCTTTCCCTATACACAAAACCCACAATGTCCATTTATTCTCAACTTGAATGCTTTATAGGATGTAAATAGTATACTATAAAGTTTCCATATTATGCTTTGGGGTTTACCCTTTCCTGTGGTGTGTTATACAGTATAGAGAGGCGAAGTCCCGCCCTATCTTTCGATCCCGTTTGAATTGTGCCATGAATTACACATATGATGTTTGTCAATCTTAAAAAATAATTTCCGTGTCAAAAAAGTCACAGTTTGTCATAAAACTGTTGAAATATAAGACTATGAAAAATACGCAACTAGAAAGACTACAAATCCCAGAATCCGGTCCCGCATGCTGGCTCTCACGGAACCGACTAACTCCCCTTGTGTGTACGTACAGCTCTCAACGTGCCCAGACTTGGAGTGATTTTCACCTCTTTGAATACTTTCCGCCTCATTCTGAGAGAAAGAAGTGAAATGTTTCAACGTGACGGCCGTCTTGGTGTGTGGTGCGAGACGGGAGATGTAGTTCATTGAGCGTTTCACACAAAAAACGGTGTTACTTCACAGTTTTACGACACATTTTTATTTTTTTGACTTGGACAAACATCATATGTGTAATTCGTGGCACAATTCAAACGGGATCGAAAGATAATCTTTCTCTCTCCATTGACTTCAATACATACTTTTTCAGAAATAAGGTCCCTTGGTGGTCTCCGGAAAGGGAGGGACTTCACCTCTCTATATGGTTTGTGTGCATCTCAAAGCTGTTGACCAATCACAACAGAGCTGACCAGCTAACCAATCAGAGCAGACTGGGCTCTGGATTTCAGGGGGTGAAAAGAGGTGCTGCAGCACAGGCAGTATGAGAAAAATAAAGAGCTTTTTGAGCATTAAAGCATGGAGACATGTCCCAGAGACACTACATACTGATATACACCTGAAAATGAGCATTATATGTCCTCTTTAATATGATCTTTTGGTCTGATTGGAACATTTCAGTGATTTTTCCATTAGCTTGAAGTTGAAATCTGCTCTTGAGCCTGGTCTCAGGTCTGCCAAGTCCACCATGGCCCCTCCTGGCATCCATAGTTATTTTCTTAACGAGTCAGCAAACCTCATGTCATTACGGAAATATGAATCATGGAATTTGGCGAGGTGATGTTGTGATTTCCAGGTAACACCTCAAGGTCTACTGAAAAAAAGAAATAACATCAAAATGACTCTTTTTTTAGTCTCTAAATTCTGAAAACAAGCTAGGTGACCCTCACACACAGAAGTAACACTCATTCATGTGTATTTACATGGTTGACTTAATGGGCTTCATTTGCTCTAATCTTCCTGTTGATCTAAGTCAGGGGCAAGCAGTGTCAAACCATTGGGAGCAAAGATATTTGAGGGGTACACTCATCAATGAATGTTTATTATCATCACTCTTCAAATGTTTTACCCAGTGATTAGACAGGCGGCTTCAAATGAGTTTGAGGCTTTTATTAAACTGATATGACTATTATTGTCA